GTTCTGAATGACAGCAACCCTGTATAGGGTTTCTGAGGCTTTAAATCTTCACAGGAGCAGAAAGACTCATGTTTCTCCTGTGGAACAGCTGATGGGCTGGGACTGACTGCCGACCTTGTGGTTCACAGTCCAGTGCTTATCATATGAAGCCACTGCATTCGATGGCACTTAACCAACCACCTTTACATATAGTAGCAAAATTTTATGTAGTATAACCTTAGGATATTTGTAAGATATATTACTAGAGTTAGAATTAATTGCAAGGCAAAAAGGACATGTGTATCTAAAACTATGATGGTGGTGGTGGATAAGTATTGCCTATTGCCTGCCAGAAAATGTAATGGAGTCTCTGAGGTTTAGCAAACATTTTCATTTCTAAAAATCTCATAAGCTAAAATATTATTTTACTTTTCCTTATTTACATGTCTTTAGTCACATTTGTGGGAGCGCGGTGGCTTTACACGCACTGGACTACTAACCATAAGGTTGGTGATTTGAGCCCACCAATTGCTCCTCATGAGAAAGATGAAGCTTTCTGCTCCCAAAAAGATTTACAGCCTTGGAAACCCTATACAGGGTCACTATGAATTGGAACCAACTTGAAGGCACTTAACAACAATAATCATATGTACTGGCTCTTAATTTGTTTTTTAAAGCTGGGGAAACTCTTTATTCTCCATCCTACTCTTCCTTTTCTCTGATATCTAAGCTCGTCTATTTCACTTAAAAGCACCTTAATCCTCCTAGCAGTTTAGGCTTAAGATCTACGAATCTTCAGCTGTTCCTTGTACTTCATCTTCTGCATTCAGTCATCAAATTCTAACAATTTACCCACTGTCATTGAGTCAAGTCCCACTGAAAATGTGAAAGAGGGACACTGAATAAGGATGACAGGAGAAGAATTGATGTATTTGAGTTACGGTGTTGGAGAAGAATATTAAAAGTACCATGGACTGCTAGAAGAACAAACAAATCTGTCTTGTAAGAAGTACAGCCAGAATGCTCTCGGGATGGCGAGAATTCATCTCTCAAACTTCAGACATATAATCAGGACGGACTAGTTCCTGAGACAGGATATCATGCTTGGTAAAGTGGAAGGTCAGCGAAAAGTAAGATGTTGCCCAAAAAGATGAGTTGGCACAGTGACAGCAGCAAAGGCTCAAGCTTAACGATTGTGATGATAGCATAAGGCTGGGCAGTGTCTCGTTCTGGTGTGCTTAAGGTCGCCAGGAGTCACAACAAACTCATCTGATACTAACAACAATGATTTCTTCAATCTGCTTCCATCTTTCTACCCCTTTAATTTAGGGTAGCATTCCTTCTCACACTCGGATTATTGTAACAAATTACTGCATCTCCCTGTTTCTGGTCTCTTGACTCTCTTACTCCCACTTCTGAATTAATCTTAAAATAATGATAGGATCTTAATTTTTAGAAAAACCTAAATTTCCCAGGTCTTCAAATTTGACTTCATCTATTGTTCTGGATTCTCTTTTCAGAGCTGTGGGTTAAGTTTTGGGTTTCTAACTGAAAGGTCATCAATTTGAACCCACCAGCTGCTCCATGGGATAATGACGAGG